ACCCAAACTTTTTCAAAACTCACCCAATCCCCTCAGGACCCCGTACGAACAAACCAAAAAGTCCCATAATTTAATACAGACCTACTCGAGGCCTCAAATCACGTATAACAACATCAAAACGCCGAAACACACCTTAAATCAAACTTAATGAACTTTCGAACTTTGGACTTTCAAAACTCGCGCCGAAACATATCAAATCAACTCGAAATAAACTCAAATTTTCCACACAAGTCCTAATATATGATACAGAGCTATTTGTGCCCCCAAATTACTGAGCAAAGTGCAAATGCTCAAAATGACCGGTCGGGTTATTACATAATTATATAGTTGTGTAATTACGATGATCTGTTTGTTTGTCATAGTGTAATTACAGTGTAATTACAAGTTTATTATTTGTTGCACAAGTGTAGTTACATAATTAGATTAAATCTTAAATGAAGTAATTATCAATACTTAAAAGTTAATATAATAAATGAATGCCTATAAATTTTTATAAGTATAAATGATATTATATTTGGTACTTAAGATGTGTATTTTTCGTGAATATACTTTAANATATATAACATAAGATTAAGAAACATAATAAGTTTATAACCACATTCAACAACAAAATTTCACTTTAATTACGTCACTCATTATATGCCAAGTTTGTTAATGACTGATTATTTCTAACTAGTATCTGTACTCGCGCGTTGTACAAAAAATAACAAATATAATTTTTTATAAAAAAATATGTGTTGGAAAAGATAGTAGATATAAAGGATAATGGAAATGCCATTATTTTTTGGAACATGCTACAGTAGTAAGGAAACACAATAAAGAAATATACAGTTATTTTCTGAAGTCCAATAATATTCTTTACAGCCTCAATAAAGCAAGTCATATGTACCAGCTAGATTTTCATAAACAAAAGTCTCTAATGCATTAAAAATTCAGAATACGACAAATCCATAGTATTTCAAGATAGAAAAATCAGACTTTATAACATACAGTTACAGAAAAATAATTACTCCCCACTTGCACAATCTTGGCATCCACAATGTACACACTATATTACAACAACTTCCCTAAGGTGCTTGGGGATACGACATGCACAAGTTGCAGCAAAAAAAACTCATGAATATTATGTTGCATGATTACACACAATGATGAAAGAATTGCATGTAGTGGTCCAATCTTTGCTAAAACCAATTTTAGAGCTGCTTCGAACAGAACATCTTTTCAAGATGATTCCAAGCCCGAACATATACCACTAAAATATGGAAGAGTTGTTTGAGAATAGTCATGACCCAAAATTCTCACCTTCAGGATCGTGATGACGCCTTACAATTCACTTGCTAGGCAAGCCAACGTTAGAGGATTCATTAATCCAATTTTAGCCAATTTCAATAACAAAATCAATTAAGCCAAACAGAAACTAAAACTGAGTACGGAATAACATAAAGCCCATAGTATCTGCTACAATAGGGATCTGGAGTCACAACTTACGAGCTTCTAGAATTTACTGCAAATAGAGTCTGAAAGAAATACAACTCTTTGAAAGAAAAGAAACAATGAAATAAGAAAATAGAAGGGGACTTCAAGGTATATGGATGCCAGCAGATCTACCTTGAGTCTCCGAATGAAAAATTCCAAGCTGCTCCAATTCACGGACAGCTAGGGCCAGTACCAAAATTTGCACAAGAAGTGCAGAGTGTAGTATGAGTACAATCGATCCCATGTACTCGTAAGTATCGAGCCTAACCTCGACGAAGTAGTGACGAGGCTATGACAATACACCTACCTAATAAACATATGCAGATAACAGTAAATGTACAAGATAATAAAAAATAAAGCTAATCATGCACTATTGGGAGGGGGACATGCGAAGGGGATACATGATACGAGAAATACAGTGAAAATGATAACAAGAATAGTCAATATGCCTTTAACCAGTAAAAACAATTAAGCACAATAAAGAAAATTGCACGGTATCACCCTTCGTGGTTTTACTCTTAACCTCACAATGAAACAATGATACTGCAGGGCATCACCGTTGTTCTTTTACTCTCACTCACAGTATAAATCACTAGAAATAGCACGACATCACCCTTCGTGCATTAACACTCACAATATGGCATGACATTACCCTTCGTGCATTAACACTCACAATATGACATGGCATTACCCTTCGGGCATTAACAGTCACAAATGGCACAACATCACCCTTCGTGCACTAACACTCTTCCTTACCATATAACAATGAACAAGTAACAACAGGGAGATTAAATAACAATTACAAGCCTTACTTCAACAATGGTTCCACAATACCAAATCTCAACTTTGAATCAATACTCAATTATCACAAAAACCCATAAACATGATAAAAACGATCAATTTAACAAATAACTAGTCTAGGCATGGATAACATAATCAAGGTAAGTAATAATTACAAGAAACAAGTCCCATTTGCATGCTTTAACCTGACAACAACACATAAGTACTCGACACCTCACATATACGTTGTACCCAACATCTAAACATGTAGCAAATAAACAAGTCCTATTATCTCAAGTCAAGGTTAACCATGACACTTACCTCGCTCTAAAGATCAAACTCAAAGCAAACCCACATCTTTGCCTTTCAAAAAAGCCTCCGAACTAATAGAATCTAGCAAATTACCAACCAAACGATTCAAATTAAGCCTTAGAAACTACCCACTATTGAAAAAAATTCAAATTAGGTCATTATTCAAAAAGTCAACAAAAGTCAACTCCCCGGCCCGCTTGGTCCAAGCTCGAAATTCGAACCAAAATCCGATTACCCATTTACCCCAGAGCCCGTTTATGTAATTTGTTTACGAATCCGACCTCAATTTGAGGTCTAAATCCCCATTTTACAAAAATTCTTATTTCTACCCAAAACCCCAAATTTCACCATAAAAACACAAATTTTTTGGTTGAAATCTTAGGAAATATAGTGAAAGATTGAAAGAAACTAGTTTAGAATCACTTACCAATGATTTGGGGAAGAAATTTTCTTTGAAAAATCGCCTCTAGGGTTTCTAGTTTTTAAAATTTGAGAGAATGAACAAAAATCCCGTCTAACTCCCATTTTGATCAGCTGAAAGATGACATATTTGCGATCTGGGGTTCGCAAATGCAAACCCCACAAATGCGAAGAAACTATCACAAATGCGAAGTCCTTCCCATCAAATGGGAACTTTGACCTTCCGCAATTGCAACCATTTGATCGCAATTGCAATCACTGCTTGCCCCAGCCCAACTTCGCAAATGCGAACATTAGATGCTTCGCTAAGGGTGTCTAACGGGTGGGACGAGCCAGGCTGGGTAGGGAAATGTTGGAACCGTACGGGTTACGAACCGGGTACAAGTTAGGGGTTACTTGGCTTAACGGGTTCGGGTTCATCTGGGTAAAAAATGAACCGTAAGGGTTACGGGTACAAGGGGTCGGACCGGGTTAGTGTAATTTTTAATTTTTTTGTATTTTGTATAACTATTGTAAGTTATATAATATAAAGTAAAAATATAAATAACACAATGAAGATGAGAAAAAATTGCACTTATAAATTGCAAGTGCTACATTTATTTCAAAATTACAAATTGAAGTTTCATTTAACAAGTAAATTAACGAAAAAAGCATAAAACTTAACTTTCATGCATAATAATACTTCAAATTAATATAACATACTAAAAAGTTAACCATAAATACGTCTAATAATTTTAAAATAACACAAATTATCTCAATTCAACTTAAATACGAATTTCTGGAGTACGCTAAAGACAACTCTTCATATGCCTCCTTAAACAGCCTGTGCCCACACACTTTGGACGAAGATTTAAGACTCGACCACAGTTCTTGTACTTTACTTTGTGAACTTCTTCATTTTCTTCTACCACCTCAAAGTGTTCCCAAACATATGAGCGCACTCTAGAAGTACGGGGCATGATTTAACTTGAATTGAGAATTTGAGTTTGAGAAATGAGAGATGAGTGAAGAAATAAAGTAGGGGGGTGTATTTATAGTTTTTCTAAGGGCTAAATTAGTAATTACAAAAAATATTAAATTTAAAATAAATTGGCAGAATAAAGGGCTAAATGTGAAAAATAGCCGTTGAGCCAATGGTCAGAAAGTAGAAACATTAAATAAAAAAAAATTGAAAGTAGTCGTTATACCGGTCTGGTCCAGGTCGGTTAACCGGTTCTACAGTAAATCGCGTTGACCGGGTTTGACTGATCCGGTTAACCGGTTGCACGAAGGTGAACGGACCAACCCCTTTACCCCATTAACCCAGCCCGCCCGGCCCCCTTTGTAGCGGTCCGGGCCGGTTCCGGAAACGGGTTGAGCCATCTCCGTACGATCCTCCAGATTCTATTAAGCTAGCTCATGAATTGTGAGACATAAGCAACCTAGTGCTCTGATACCAACTTGTCATGACCCGGAGACTTGTCACGACCGGAATTCCAACCTTCAGGATCCTGATGGCGCCTAACATTTAACTTGCTAGGCAAGCCAACATTAGAGAATTCATTAAGACAACTTTAGTCAATTTCAATAACAAAATCAATTAAGCCAAACAGAAACTAAAATTGAGTGTAGAATAACATAAAGCCCATAATATCTGCTACAATACGGATCTGGAGTCACAACTCATTTGCTTCTAGAATTTACTACAAATAGAGTCTGAAAGAAATACAATTGTTTAAAAGAAAAGAAACAGTGATATAAGAAAATAGAAGGGGACTTCAAGGTCTGCAGACGCCATCAGATCTACCTCGAGTCTCTGAGTGAGCAATTCCAAGCTGCTCCAACTCATGGACAGCTAGGGCCGGTACCAAAATCTACACATACAATATAGAGTGTAGCATGAGTATAACCGACCCCATGTACTCATAAGTATCGAGCCTAACCCCAATGAAGTAGTGATGAGGCTATGAAAAAATACCTACCTAATAAACCTGTGCAGATAACAGTATATGTACAACATAATAACAAATAAAACTAATCATGTACTATTGGGAGGGGGACATGCTAAGGGTACAGGATACGAGAAATATAGCGGAAATGATGACCAGAATAGTCAATATGCCTTTAACCAGTAAAAACAATTAAGCACAATGAAGAAAATTGCATGGCATCACTCTTCGTGCTTTTACCCTCAACCTCACAATGAAACAATGATACTACATGGTACCACCCTTCATGCTTTTACTCACACTCACAGTATAAATCAATAGAAATGACACGACATCACCCTTCATACATTAACACTCTCCCTTACCATATAACAATGAACAAGTAACAACAGGAGATAAAATAACAATAACAAGACTTACTTCAACAACGGTTCCATAATACCAAATCTCAACTTTGAATCAATACTCAATTATCACCAAAAACACATAAAAATGATCGGAATGTGCACGCAAATCGAGGAGGGTCAAAATAAGGTATTTAAGGCTTCAAAACACAAAATTAGGTTCTAAAATATAAGATGACATATCAAGTCATCACAAGAATGTGCTCCCATATCAACTTCCTCTACTACAAAGCAACATCTACATTATGCATGCAACACTGCACCTCAGCACTTAGTCCAGGCAAATGCCAGAAAGACCCATAAGACAAAAATGGGCTCCTCTAATGTGCAATCTTGAATATGAGCCAGAATACTTCACACTTTCTTTTACCATCATTAAGGTGATTGCCAGCTTTCAAAACCCAAAAAACAGATGTCAAGGTCTGGAAATTCTAATCAAACAAAATAAGAAATAAAAAGATTACCCGGTATCACCATGCATCTAATTACTAACCTTCTCTCATTTAAGTATCCACCTCATGTACGGTAGGTTCAATTAACTATCAACCCTCGGGGTATTTTGTATGATTTTCCTTGACACGCTTACAAATTTTGCAGGACCTTTCATCTGGACAAAGAAAAACCAAAAAGATGTCAAAGAAGGATAACAACCTCACAGATAGAAGTTCGTCAAGTAGATGTTCGTCTTCCTATAATGTAAAGGTCATTTCTTTAAATAGTGTAGTTAGGGGAACAAAGACAGATGATTGCCATTTTAAATAGAGTAGGAATCGGGTTATTACCATTTTTACTATTTTTCTTTTGGTCTGCTCCATCTGTTTTATCAAAAGGTTTAAAATACATAGTGAGGAAGTTATTGTTGGTGCAACGGGTTCTGAATTTGGATACTTCTATTTCTATTTCCCTAACAGCTCTAAAGGGGTTGTGACTTGGATGCTATAGCTGTTGTTATCACACCTCCTTTTTACACGAAGGAGTATAAGAGAGTTTTTCCAATTTAAGTGACATAATCGAAACTGGATTATGTATATTCAAATTCATAGTTGCCACTTGGGATAATTTACGGTATCCCAAGTCACCGGTTTAAAATCCCGAATCAAGGAAAGTTGACTCTATTTATGGTCTGCGAACACAGAAATCCGGGTAAGGAATTCTGTTAACCCGGGAGAAGGTGTTAGGCATTCCCGGGTTTCGTGGTTTTAGCACGGTTGCTTAACTATTAATAATTGGCCTAATTATCTGATTTATTACACATTTTAAACCTACATGCGTTTTTAACTTTCTAACCACTTTTATTTATTATGGAATTATTTTCTGGAATAAGGCACGATATCGCGTACTCGTTTATTTTGAAAACATTGCAAATTACATCACATGAAATGCACCCGCGATTTACAACATGTTTAATATTACTAATATTCGATGTTATGGTTGGGTCACATGAAATTCACACCCGGGTGTGGAGGGCCTAAACATACATTCCATCGACACAACTAGACAACAACATAAGTAAAATAATACAAAATGCTCTCGAGCCCCATTTTTTTATTTTTTTAAAAACACTTCAAATCAATTTCCTCGACCAAAACATTTTCCAATTTTATCAACCCGACCCCAATTCATTGTTCACTTCTAATTACATACGAAATTGTCAAAACAACCCATTTATGTTTATAATCAACTTAAACCTAAATTCTTCTTAATTAACCAATGCAACAACCTACGTTAAACAAAAATTTTAGCATGCAAGTTCAAGATAATTGTGATATAAACAGAACTTAATTCATTCACATATACATGCACAAAACATCAAAATTTATATTAATCCAGAATAATTTAAGGAACGGACCTTAGGTATATTTTTGCCAAATGAAATCTGAAAATGCAACACCGGAAAACTTAAAACGACAACTTGACAGAAACATGAATCTTCCCGGACAACGACGATTTCAGTAACCTCAGCTCAATATCCCTAGGGACTTCGTCAGAGAAGATTTCGCACTTGATGTCGCCTAGGTTTATATGAAGCGTCACTGACGTGCTTTGCTGCTCGAGTCTTTGAGATTATTAGAGCTGACTCAAAGCACTTCTCTACTTTTCCACTGATAAAAAACAAGAGTTTAACAAAAGTGTTTCGGTGGGATCCTCTGTATGGCCAGTTAGCTGGACTCGCCAGATTCCGGTAGTTTTGGCAGTTTTGGCAATTGTTGGCAGAGACGAGGGGTGGACGACTAGTTTGTGTTCATTTTTTTTGTTCTTGTACTTGTATGTATGTGTGTTTCTCGCTTGTAGTGGTGATGAAAATCGGTAGCTATGGAGGATGGTTGGCGATAGCGAGGTCGCTAGGTTTGGGTATGGGCGGCTGATGGTGGTTGACGCTTAGTGGTATGAAGAAGAAGAAGAAGAGGTGAGAAGGTGCTGTTATGGTGGTGTACGACCGTGATGGTGCAGTTGGGTTCTTCTTTTGGAGATTCTCTAGGGTTAAGTTTTAAGGAAGAAGAAGAAGGGGTCCTAGGGTTTCAAATCCTAAAAAAACGGCTGAAGCTTTTTTTTTTGTGTAGTCTAGGTTTTTTTTTTTAATGTCTAGGTCTAAATTGTGTGTTTGGATATATAAGAAGAATGGGAAGTGGGTCTTAGGATTTAGGCATTAAAATTGGGCCATCTTTTTGGACCTCTTCAATTAAGACCAAACAAAATTAGTCTCAAATTTCATACTCTTTCTTCTAACACAAGACTAAAAATACCACACCATATACTAATTAATCCTACTTAAGTAAAATAACTATTAAAATAAAACGAACCGTTAAAATGAACCTATTCTTTTTTGATATTTTTCAAATATCATACTAAAAGATAAAAATGAAAAAATTATTGTAAAATTAAAATAATATTCGTGAAAATAAAATGGAACTATTTTTGGATTTTTGAATTTTATATAAGGTAGATAAATTAAAGGTAACTAGATAAAAATATTAATTAGCAAAATAAAATAAAATATTTTTGTAATTTTTATTTTTGTAATAAAATAACGTAAAAGAGTCAAAACTATTTAGAATAGCAATACTAAAACCTAAACTAAATATTTTACGCTAAAATGTGTAAATTATTTGGGAGGGTAACAAATTACATGTCTACAGCTGTCCCTCTTTGACTGGAAACGCGAAGAGTTTTCAGACAAAGAATGACGAGACATGCTTTTTGACCTGACCCTTATTTATAGAGACCAAAAACTAAAAAAAAGGAGTATGTGACCGAGCCCTGGTATCTGAGCTGCCTACATATCCTTGGTTATAAAGGAATCAAGCCACGTGTAGTTCAAAAGTAGGAACAATGATGGAGTATACCGAGGTGGAAAGTCGATTGAGGTGCCGTTCCGTCGAGGTTCCGGTCCGCATTCCTATTATTATATCAAAATCAAAAATGAAAAAGACTAACTAAGCCTGTCAACTATGAGTTAAAAGATTCCTATCTATAAGTTTTCTGAAGCTTGATCTTGAGTCTTGAATGGTTCTTCATGCAGACTTTAGATTTGAATCTTGATGCTTGCTAGCTGCAGGTGCTAGTTCGTTCTTCTTCAGCTTTTTCGGATCAAGACCGGACATGTAGCGCTCGTGACTTCAACCATGTTCTGAGCAATTCACATTTTTCTTTGCTTCTGCATTTTGGATTCACTTCCCTTTTTTCTTTTTTATTTCTTTTTATTCTGTATCAAGACTACTTCTGTTGGTCATCTCGGACTAACGACTCACATTCTTACCGCGAGCTTCTGCTACTTCTAACTTGAATTGAATTCTGAAATGACTTCCCTCCATTCTCCAGGTGGGTGCCTGCTACTGACTGAAAACTTGAAATGAATTCCCCCATTCTTCAAGCGGGCGCTTGCCACTGACATGAAACTTAAAATGATTCTGAATCGAATTCTGAAATGACTTCCCTTATTCACCAGGTGGGGTGCCTGCTAATGACTTAAAACTAGAAATGAATTCCCTTGTTCTCCAGGCGGGTGCCTGCAACTGACTTAAAACTCGAATGAATTCTCTTGTTCTCCAGGTGGACGCCTACAACTCAAACTTGAAATGAATTCCCCTGTTCTCTAGATGGGTGCCTACAACTTAAACTTGAATGAATTCTCTTGTTCTCCAGGTGGGTGCCTGATGCTGACTTAAAATTTGAAATAAATTCCCTTGTTATCCAGGTGGGCGCCTGCAACTTAAACTTGAAATGAATTTCCTTGTTCTCTAGGTGGGCGCCTGATGCTGACTTAAAATTTGAAATAAATTCCCTTGTTCTCCAGGTGGGCGTCTGATGCCGACTTAAAATTTAAAATAAATTTCCTTGTTCTCCAGGTGGGCTCCTGCACTTAAACTTCAAATGAATTCCCTTGTTCTCCAGGTGGGCTCCTGATGCTGACATTAAATTTGAAATAAATTTTCTTGTTCTCCAGGTGGGCGCCTGCAACTTAAACATGAAATGAATTCCCTTGTTCTCAAGGTGGGCGCCTGATGCTGACTTAAAATTTGAAATAAATTCTCTTGTTCTCCAGGTGGGTGCCTGCAACTTAAACTTGAAATGAACTCCCTTGTTCTCCAGGTGGGTGCCTGATGCTGACTTAAAATTTGAAATAAATTACCTTGTTCTCCAAGTGGGCACCTGCTACTTAAACTTGAAATGAATTCCCTTATTCTCCAGGTGGGCGCCTGATGCTGACTTAAAATTTGAAGTAAATTCCCTTATTCTCCAGGTGGGTGCCTGTAATTTAAACTTGAAGTGAATTCCCTTGTTTTCCAGGTGGGCGCCTGATGCTGACTTAAAATTTGAAATAAATTCCCTTGTTCTCCAAGTGGGCGCCTGCTACTTAAACTTCAAATGAATTCCCTTATTCTCCAGGTGGGCGCCTGATGCTGACTTAAAATTTGAAATAAATTCCCTTGTTCTCCAAGTGGGCGCCTGCTACTTAAACTTCAAATGAATTCCCTTATTCTCCAGGTGGGCGCCTGATGCTGACTTAAAATTTGAAGTAAATTCCCTTATTCTCCAGGTGGGTGACTGCAACTTAAACTTGAAGTGAATTCCCTTGTTTTCCAGGTGGGCGCCTGATGCCGACTTAAAATTTGAAATAAATTCCCTTGTTCTCCAGGTGGGCGCCTGCAACTTAAACTTGAAGTGAATTCCCTTGTTTTCCAGGTGGGCGCCTGATGCCGACTTAAAATTTGAAATAAATTCCCTTGTTCTCCAGGTGGGCGCCTGCAACTTAAACTTGAAGTGAATTCCCTTGTTTTCCAGGTGGGCGCCTGATGCCGACTTAAAATTTGAAATAAATTCCCTTGTTCTCCAGGTGGGCGCCTGCAACTTAAACTTGAAGTGAATTCCCTTGTTTTCCAGGTGGGCGCCTGATGCCGACTTAAAATTTGAAATAAATTCCCTTGTTCTCCAGGTGGGCGCCTGCAACTTAAACTTGAAGTGAATTCCCTTGTTTTCCAGGTGGGCGCCTGATGCCGACTTAAAATTTGAAATAAATTCCCTTGTTCTCCAGGTGGGCGCCTGCAACTTAAACTTGAAGTGAATTCCCTTGTTCTCCAGGTGGGCACCTGCCATTACAACAAAACAGACAAAACAAAAGAAATATTTTTGTCCCAGTTTGGTACCAGGAACATTTGTGAGTGTTAATCGAATCCTGTTATCCAAAAGATCTCTAAGAATTTAAAATCTAAATCCCATTATCTGGGAGGGCCCTGAAAACTAAAATTAAATCTCGTCCTTAAAGTGAAAACTTAAAAGCTAAATTCTATTTCCTAAAGGTAAAACTTACGCTAAATATCATTATCTATGAAGGTCCTAAAAACATAAAACTAAACCCCATTATCTAGGAAGATCCTGACAACTTAAAACTACATCCCATTATCCAGGAGGGTCCTACAAATTTGAAATTAAATCCCATTATCCAGGAGGGTTCTGAAAACTTGAACTTAAATCCCATTATCCAGGAGGGCCCTGAACTTAAAGAAAGCTAAAAACTCTTCTGACTAGGGAGACTGCCTAGGAGGTACGGTTCTTCTCGACTAGGGAAAATGTGCAGGAGGTAAAAACCTTCTTAACTAGGGGAATGCCTAGCAATTAAAACCTCCTCAAACAGCCTTTGTGCTGACAAAATGTAGGCACGACACTTGAAAAATTCAAGCTTCCAAGCTTTGATTTGGACATAGTCTTTGTCCCTGTTTCAAACAAAAAAAACTTATGAGTTCAAATATGGTAGTTGGTTTGTGGCCTTGACTTTGAGGGCGATTGCTCCTTCACTTCCCATGATAACTTTGATTTCAACTCGAAAGACCTTGCTTGTTTATTGACTAACCACTTTCTCTGTCACCCTTATCACAGAAAATATCTCTGATCCGTTCAAACCCAACACCCTCTATCTGTTTCATTGTGCTCATGAATTGACATATACCGAACCTTTGTATTTCACATGAATCCCAAATCACGTCAATTGCCACCCATTCAGTGCGCATACTGTTCTTTCCTAACTTATGCCGCTTTGATGTGCTAGCCAGATTTCGTTTTGTGCAATTGGAGGGCTGGTAGCAAATTTTGAAGTCATTTCTCACTTGTTCTGACCAAACAGAACCAAGAAGAGGGAGTAAACAAAACAAAGGGAACAAAGTAAAGGACAATTGAAAGAGATGATCCCTAACAAGAAAATTACAAAGTAGAAACTTATTAGATGCGGATACTAACTTTAATGACCATGACATGAACCTTTGGATTAAGTGGCCTAATCTGTCAAGCAAGTCTAATGTTCAACTCTTGTTGTACCTCTGAGTCGTGAAACTGAGCTTCCATGCTCTGATTATCCTATCTGATTCACAGTCCTTATTCGACTTGTAGTGCCTAAAGGGTTTTCACCATCAATCCTCTCTCATTTTGTTCTTTCTCTTAACTTATCGTCGCCTTATGGTGCATGTGAAGGTTTTCATCGATAAGACTCTCTCATTTTTTCTTTTCTTCTTCTTTCCTCTAATTCTGCTAATGACAAGGCACTAACCACGATAGAAATATCATATGCTCCTGGCATGTCTGACTAGGCACTCTCAAAGATTATCTAGAAGATCTTTTGGACTGTAATGTGGCTTTTGGATAGGGTTAGAAAGAAGGGATATCATAAAGGCTCAAAATAACTAAGACAACACGGTTAATTTATCTACAACTTTTGGAATCCATTATAAAAACATTGCCCAAATTTCTAAAACAAGGGAATTTGATTCTCTTTTTTTTTTCTTTTTGAGATGGAATTTCTAAGAAAGACTGCCCCACTCTCGACTTCGTAGGATTATGAAATATTTTGTTTGGTGCGACTGAATCTTAAGGCTGCATACGTATCTTGTGGTGACAAGAATCAGGTCGAACGTAGTTCAAAGGGATGCTTTATTTTCGTTGATATTCTTTTTTTTTCTTTTTCTTTTTCTTGTTTTTTCTATTTTCTCTTTTGTGTTTTTTTTTTATTTTTGACTTTTCTTTTAGAATGGACTTTCTAAAACAAACCTATGGGTGCATGAACTTTTTTTTTGATTTTGACTTGAAATTG